TTATTTCATTTTACCGAATTTACACGCCGCAGATATGCCATCTCCTTGCTTGTAGGGCTTAAAGGACCATTTAAGTTTGCTTTTTTCATATGTACCTTCGTTCGAACCAACTCACTGAAGCACTTGTGCATCCGATGCACTGCAGGTGCTCAACCACCCTGGAACCGTAGCCTAGATAAATGATACTCGTAGGCACGTAGGAGCAGTTGGACTGTCGCATGCGTCGCGCAATTCCAGTGAAATGAAATGATTTGATGTCCTTTCAGATTGCAGCGTAAAACTGCTGTTTGTGTTACATACCCAAGGACATTGGAGTTATCTTTTGTTTATGAGTTGCTGTCAGTTGAGGCTGGTCGTCGACACTGGATAACTACCCCAGGATTTGAATTGCCCAATAGCTAGTTCGTCAGTTTCAACTGCGAGATAGTTACGCATTCTTTTCTGCATCTTGTATGGTAGCAAATTCGCTGCTTCCTTTCTTAAGGTTAAACAATAAATTAGAAAAATCTGTATAAATGCTATTAATTTACTCCTGATACTTAAACCCCGAAAACAACGCAAAGCATTGTACATTTATGCGCAACACAAATAATGTGATCGGTCGGATGATTGAACAGTACAGACCAGTTTAGACCTGCTGGTTCCATACATCCCAACCGCTGCGGACCCTGAAGTCAATGCTGCTCTTTGCCTTGAAGAACAGGTGCTTTCTGCCTTGGTGAGGCACAGGCCGAAACATCGTTACTGGCAATCGTCTGACTGGCTATATTATCTGTATTGTGTATCAGTAAACCGGAACAGGGTTCTTTACTATTTTCAGTGAGACCACCAACTCACGAAAGAAATACTCAATATTCCATGCCTGAACCCAATGAGAACTTCTTTGGACGACACGATTTGTAATACTATCACCTAACTCTTCCAACACCAGATTTATGATATTACGAGCAGCTTTTGTGCATATCAGTAATGTCATTATTAATATAGTTCGTTCACGTTTACACCCGTAATAGAGTACCGATGTATTGGATTTTTTCTTTGTCTCATTTTCATGTATCTTATTACTACTTGCCCAACCAACCGCTTGAATACGCCGGGGATGGCCAAGAGTTACCGAGGGCAAATATATGGAAGGACTCTCAGACTCCAGACTCAGGCTGTCTTCTACTAAAGTTCGAAAGTTTGCAGAATATGAGGAACGTTAAAAACACTGTCTGACTTGTCCGCTTCTGTGACCTGAATGAACAAGCGGTCATCGAAACTAACTAATTTTATTTATTCATATGCATTATATGTATACCGTTAATATTATGCCAGTGGGTCGGTGATTGCTGATGTGTTGGTGCTAGTTTTCCATGTTATTGTGCTAGTTTAAGCGGTAAATTCTTTAAATTGATATGATTCACTGAATTGCTCTCCATTTAACTTCAAGAATGGTATTGCTGATATGTTTAATAATACTAATAATATAGTTCATGTACTTAAAGAAATAGTTACGCAACTCAAAATATCAGTATATCAATATATCGGCTACTGCTGATGCGGCTTCATATTGATTACAATCCACGTTATTGTGTGGATTAACTTTAGCTAACTCATCGATGGAATCTATAGAACGTCTGCCCGTATTCCTCCATTGAGGTCCGTTATTTCGCTCTTTCATTACTACTGTCCTCATGACTGACTTAGTCGACTCTAGTGACGCCGTGTTTCGTTGCCCTCCACGGGGGTATTCGATCGAATGTTAAATCAGTAACTATTCTTCTGTGCATCTTAGTAATCCGTACACAGTTGATCCAGATATTCTTTGAATGGCGGCTCTCGCTGTCTTGAATCAGAATTTGGCAACTCCTCTGTGAATGCCACCCATAGCAGAGAATGTCTTGCTATGTTTTGGTATAGTCTCTTCGGGAGGTTTGCTGAAACACGCGTCCAAATCAAGCACAGTCGGCGCTTTTGGGTGACTGCTGAGATTCTGAAAACGTTTTTGCGACTGCGAACCTTTTCGAGGGACGCACACGCACGCCCTTCGTTTGCATTTATTTTGCTACTAACTTAGGCGATAAGGTTAATTTTCGCTCTAACTATTTTAAACAGTTATCATTATTCTCAAAATGAACAACTGAATATGAGAATTTTTAATTATTTTCAGAATCAGGATGTTTCGACTGCGTAGACCATCTGCGCATTTCGAGATTCTACTTCCGAGGCGAAGGAATGACGAACATCGTCATTGGTTTCGAGAAGAACGGGGCTTACTTCGTGTGGCGTTTTGCAAAGGAAATGTTCGAAAGCGACCATGTCCTTCACAGAGAGGCCGTCTTTACCGCGGAGGACGTCTATTTCTACATCTCATCGATTATCTCGCCGTTGTTTCACGGCCACGTGGTCGTTGTGCCGACGATCGTGCGTTTGAAGCTGTCGACCGTGGTCAAGATTTTCGAGCATTGTTCGGTAAGGGCAAAGCGATGCCCAGTCGTGTTCCCTGCTGCCAGCCTGTCCAAAACGGTGTATGTGCTTGAAATGCCTGACCTGTGTTTCGCCCCACTTCCAATTAGGTACCAGCCTGAACTGTGTCTCGTCGTTGAAATCAAACCAAAGGCAGCCATTTTTCATCCAGACCTCGCAGCCCTCAGTCCATACTGCATGAACTGTCTGCTACAATTGGTAAAATGTTTTGATAAACGTTTTTTGACCATGTATGAATACTGTCCTTTGGACCTGTTTTCTGGCGATATCATTAGGATGCAACACTCCCTGATGTGTCTGCTTAAATGTCCCCATAATAACATGAAGATCTTTAAAAATGGTCTTTTGATCCACGCCAACGATCGCCTGCTGCCTGAAGCTGACTGGTGCTCTGCCCTTTCTCACGGTTGTCATGTGATTAGTGGGGATCAGCTGTGCTTACTGGTCGCTGAGATTTTGACCGATCGCCGAAATGGTGTTTCATTAGGAGAGTCAGAAGAATCTGCCACCACTAGTCTTCTCGAACATATACAGGAATTACAGAGTCGAGATTTGATTGGCCCTTTGAAGATAATCGATTGGCTTCAGAAACTTCCTCCGGAAATGTTAACGTTGCAAAACAAGGACTTTTGGTGTTCCAGTTTCGAGGAAGATTGTACCCAATTGCGCCAAGCGTATATCTCGGCGTCTCTGAGGGACTGTTCCCTAATGGTCATCATTCATTCGTTGAACATGTCGGCTGAAACCAAAGGCGGGCGAGGCCGGTACTCATTACCATGCGGGTGCCCTATCGATGCCCAGGTGCGCATGATAGACGTGGATATCAAACGTCCAGCAAAAATCTTAAGTTCAGCAGAACGCTTGAAACGTGCGGTACAGTTACTGAACTCTGGAAAGCTTCTGAGAGGTCGTCGACCGTGTCTCCAAGAAAGCTTCCGAAATGATTCTGTTTTTGATAAAGCCATTGTGATGAGTACACCTGTGAGCTGAAGGACAATTCAGTGACTTTGTATATATATGTTTGTGTGTGTCAGAAAGAAAAGCAAGTCCTGCTCATTGAAATGTCGAACATAGCAAGTTCATGTGCTCTTGGCTGTCTGAACTTTACTTCCTGCAATTGCGTTGTTAATTTAAACACAGGATCGAACGACTCGAATTTATGTGTTTTTCCGGGTGTCTAAATCTATTGTCTGCCTTAAGGTTGTATGTGTTAT